TTCAAAATACAGGCCTGAAGAAGCTAGCAAAAATGTGGAGTCATGCCTCTGCCAAGAGATAACTCACGGTCCTATACCTTTCTCTGAATGATAAAGTTGAAAAGGAGAGCCAAAATTCTCAGTAAACATCTTCAGCACCTCAGAGAACTGTTCGTAAAAAAAAAAAAAAAAAAAAAAAAACATGCTTGAGAAATGCAATGTTCCACAGTGAATTTGAACTGAAAACATAGGAAAAAGCTTGTAAATAAAAATTATTATTATTTATTCCAATAAAAAAACAGTGCTAATAAACAGTGAAACCAGTAAGTCTGCACCTCTTTAAATACCAGTTGGACTCCATCATTTTTTAAAAGAATTTTTAATCCTAGAATTTCAATTTAAGATCTTTCATTTTCAAAGCATATCTATTTTCATCTGTTTTCCTGGAAAAAGAAAAATAAAGGGGCTGGGAAGGTGGCTCAGTGGTAGAGTACTTGCCTTGCATGCCTGAGGCCCTGGGTTCGATTCCTCAGCACCACATAAGCAAAAAGAAAAAAGCCGGAAGGGTAGAGCGCTAGCCTTGAGCTGAAGAGCTGAGGGACAGCGCCCAGACCCAGAGTTATGGCCCCACGACCAGACCCAAAAAAAAAAAAAAAGAAAGATGCTTTGGAGTAAATGGAATTGTAATCCAGACTTCCCCTTCTATTTCCCCCTTCAAGAGGTTCTCCACAGAAATCTCTACCAAGTTCCTTTTTTTCATTTTAAAATGAAAAGAAACTTCTGAGTTAGAATGTAACACATGCAAACTAATAATTATCACGCAATAAAAACAGCAGGCTACACTCACAATAACCCATGCAGGATTTAAATTTCTGAACTGCAGAGAGCTGTGCTGGGGTTTTTCTAACCTATACAATGTGGACAATAAAAAGTAGCTTTGCCTGGCCAGTGTCATCATGTCTGTAATTCTAGCTACTGAGGAGGTTGAGACTTGAGAATCACAGTTCAAAGCCAGCCCATTCCGGAAAGTCTGTGAGACTCTAATCTCCAATTAACCACCTAAAAATTGGAAGTGGATCTGTGCCTCAAAGTGTTAAGAGTGCTAGCTAGCCTTGGGCAAAAAAAGTTGAGGCCTAAGGCCCTGAGTTCAAGCCCCATGACAAAAGAAAAAAAAAAAGTAGCTGCTTTCTTGGCTTTGGTGATACAGGCCTGTAACCCCAGCATTCAAGGAGGCTGAGATAGAAGGATTTACAGTTTAAGGCCAGTCTGGGTTTAGTAAAGTTAAAGCCAGCCTGGACTGTGAGTATAAAAAAACCCATAACAGCAAAAAAGTAGCGGCCTCTTAAGAGCCCTTGACAGGATCATTTAAATGACATCACACAAAACACTCAGGACTGTTATCATTAGAAAGCCATAAGAAGGGGATGATTTGTCATTATCACAGTTATCACATGATCACTAAGAGAAAGAATTTCATTTAGGGTGAACCTCTGACAGAGGGGAGGCTTAAGCCTCTGTACCCAAAGGCTCACACCTGTAAAAAAAAAACAAAAGTCTCTACATTGTTAAAAAGGACCTCTGAGGACCCTACACATTCCCTTTTGGAAAGGTGAGAAAATTTGAAGAGTGTAAGAAATGACTCTGGATACCAAGTTCCATGCAAGACAATCCAACAGTAAATGAACTAAACAGAGGTTAATCTGAAACTGGACTCTGATCCCCAAGTAAACCAGCCAGTGGAGCCCAGTCCTAACTGACTCTGCTGAAGAAAAACAAGCCTGGATCTATCTCAACTGTGATCTGGTGGGATAGGATCTAAGCTTGGAACAGAGCCTAACCTCATTTCACATGTATAATATGGATCAGATAATCCTGAGCAGGGACTGTTGAGCTGCGTCTACACCAGATACTCAGAAATTGTCATTGAAAAATGAAGATGCATAGCCTTTGTTCTACTCTCTCATTTTAGGCAAGTTTCCTTTTCTACTAGGTTTCTCTGAAATAATTACAAAAAAGAGGGGGAGGGAGGAATCAGCAAGGGAGGCGGGAGGGAAAGAGTACAGTGAAATGGTTATTTGTACTATCAAGGCATTCTTCAAAATTTTCACTCATTGCAACATTTCTTTTGAATTAAGACCCACAATGCTAAAATCCAAGCACCTTCTCCAACCACCTCTCCATTTTTTTTCTTTTACTTTGTTTAGTCTTTGAGGAAAGGAAAGGAAAAGTGAGATCTCTTAAGAAAAATTTCTGGGCTGGGAAGGTGGCTCAGTGGTAGAGCGCTTGCCTTGCATGCATGAGGCCCTGGGTTCCATTCCTCAGCACCACATAAGCAGAAAAAAAAAAAAAAAAAAGCGGGAAGTGGTGCTTTGGCTCAAGTGGTAGAGTGCTAGCCTTGAGCTGAAGAGCTGAGAGACAGTGCCCAGGCCCAGAGTTCAGGCCCCATGACCGGACCCCCCCAAAAAAAAAATTCTTGCAAGAGGGGTTGGTGGTATTTGCCTGTAATCCCAGGCTGCTGGAAGCTAAGCAGGAGGATTGAGAATTCAAAACCAGTTTGGACTACAAAGCAATACCCGGTCTGCCCCCACCCCCCAAAATAAAAACCAAACAACAAAAAAGAAATTCCTTATTAATAATATGGTATATTTATAGTTTCAAAGTACTTTCTTGAACTCTTAATTAAGCCTTGTGCAAGATGTTATAAATTATACTCATTTGAGAAGTGAGAAAAGATGAAGCTCACACTGACACATGGAAGAGCTGGCCTCCTGCTCACTCACACTCATTGGTGTTGGTGCTGTTACTTTTTCATTCTTCAGCAGTTTGAGTCCAGTCATCTTCCCCCTTCCTCTTCTATTAATTCTGATTAATGACTTGAGCAAAGCAACATTCATTCAACTTCTATTTACTAAGCACCAACTACCTACAAGGCAGATCTCTGAGGGGTTTAAGCAGAGAGACGCTGAATCTCCTTTGTCCATTTAAGATTTAAAACCAAAAAAAAAAAACAAACCCACAATGAGATTATGTTATCAATAGAAAACACTTATCTAAAAATAGTATTTGTATATTAGCCATGCTGGAGGTCCTAAATATCTAGGAGCCAGATAACCGCCTATGTTTTGTGTTTGTTTTAATTTTGGAAATAGCTGTCAAATGGTTTCAATAAGAAAAGGTTAGAAAATTACTCTATACAGACGATTTCTAATTGTGGTGAAGCATCACCCTTAAACCACTCATTCAACACATTAACTCACTCTACAAACTTGCAAGTGCTAACACTGCGGGAGAGATGAGCTGGTTGCAGCAAGTCTCCCAGAGAAAGGAGTCAGGGCCTCAATAAAGCCAAGACATAGCTTTCTGAGGATTCCCCAGCCCTCTGGGGTCAGACCTCCCTGCCCCCACTCAGCTTGAGATGGAACCAACTTCCTTCCTCCACCGCAGCCACGTAGGCCTTTTTTCTTTTATTCCCAGAGCTGCCCTTACTCCCACCCACCACTGGCCTTTGCATAAATTCCAGTTCCCTTTGCCTTCAAAGCTATCAGCTCGGCTCGGCTAAACTCCTCCTTCTCCTCCGTCCAGAACTCAGTGCCCCATAGCCCCAGGGAGCCTTTTCCGTCTTAGATCTGGTCAGATCTCCCAGTGAAGTCCATGACCCCACTGAAACTCAAGGCATTTATCATTTTCCTTGGACTCATGTGACTGATTAGTTTGCACCGTCTATTCTCAGGCCCTTATGTTCCTGAGGGGCAGGAGATGAATCGTTTTAGTAGATGCCCGGGCCGGGCAAAGGGGAGGCCTTCCAGGAATGAATAAAACAAACCAAAAAAACCCAACATGATATGTGCCCCAGATTCAAGAGGCCTAGGCCTAGACCATCTGCCCTAGGCAGATGGACTGGATTGGAGGATCTCTAGAGCGCCCTTGCTATGGGCCTCAGAGCTTCTACCTAACCCTTCTCTGTGACACTGGGCTCTGTCACATTGTCCCAAGTCCCCAAGAGACTAAGCCTTTGGATGGCAAGAACTTCCATTGTATTTAGTGGTTGTGACCCCAGCAGCCACTGTGCCTATTACTAGGACCTGAGACACAGACACACAGACACAGACAGACACACACACTCCAGAGGGTGAGACAAAATGGGGACAATTTCAAAGACATTTTTAAGCTTGAGCTGACTCTTTAAGAAAATACAAGGCATTCCCAACCACAGATGAGAAGAAAAAAAGAAAAAAGAGACAAAGGTTTTTTAAAAAGAGAGAGGAAGAAAGGGAAAACGGAGCGCGAAGCGAGGGGGAGCGCTCTAGGCCACTTGGGAGAAGCCGCTTCGGTAAGCTCAGCCTTCCCAGGCCTCAGGCCCGCTCTCCCCCGCTCCGGACCCCGAGGCGTCTGCACGGCCTCCGGGCACTCCCAGACCTGGGTGCAACTTTGTCGGGGCCGGGTGTCGTGAGATCCCGGCCCCGGGAGAGTACTGGGGTCTTCGTGGGGAAGGTCGCGGGACTGAGGGAGAGGAGCCAAGAACTCGTCTCAGTAATGGACATTTTTACCTAGGACCCGGCACTCCACGCCCGCACGAGCACCAGCCTCGAGGCCCAGCCGCACCCCCGCCGAGGGCGCCACGCAGGCCCCGCCCCCTGGACGCCCGAAGCTCCGCCCCCCTCCTCCCCGCCTCGTCCCAACGGTCCCGGCACGCAGGCGCGGTGGCGCGCGCGCGGGCCGGACTTAAGCCAGAGGCGGAGGAGGGGCGGCGCACATCCGCCGCGGCTCCGCTGCCCCTGCCGGCGCAGTCTCGGCAACTGCCTTGGCGCGGCGCGAGCCTGGGTCCCCCCGCTCTTCCCGCGGCGGCGGCAGCGGCAGCGGCAGCGGCAGCGGCAGCAGGGCGCGGCGGCCAGCGGTGGCGGGCTCCATGGAGAGCGGCGGGCGCCCCGGCAGAGGCGGCGCGGCCCCTGGGCTCTGGTGACCCGCCCTCGAGTCCAGCCCCGCGTCGGAGCGGCCGTCGGTCCCGGGACTGACCCGGCCTCGCTGCCTCTTCCCGCGCCGCCGCCTCGCCACCCTCCCCGCCCCGCCTCAACCCGCATCCCTCCGGAGCCCCGATTCGCTTGCGCCCCTACTCCTCGGCGGGGGTGGCGGCGGCCGGGCCCCCACGGCGTCGGTCGGAGCAGTCGCGGCCCCCGGAACACGCCTCTATGATGAAGTTCAAGCCCAACCAGACGCGGACCTACGACCGCGAGGGCTTCAAGAAGCGGGCGGCGTGCCTGTGCTTCCGGAGCGAGCAGGAGGACGAGGTGAGACGGCCGGCGCGCACGCCGCCTCGGCGGGGCTCGTGGCCGCGGGAGCCCGGGGCCCTGCGCCCCGACCCGGGCCCGCGGCTGGGCGGGGAGGGGCCGGGCCTCCCCCCCCCCCGGCCCCCATCCCCCTTTGTGTTCTCCTCCCTCACTCTCTTCCCTCTCCTCTCCCTTTTCCCTCCGCCCTCTTTCCTTCCTTCCTTTCCCTGGGCTGATAGGGTAGACAAAGGAGACCGGGGCGTTTGGGGTTCGCCTAGCGGCAGTCACCCCGATCTTGACTGGCATGGGGAACTTGGAAGCCGGGTAAAGCCAGGGTGGCCCACCGAGGGCAGCGAGGGCGAGATCCGAGCCGCGGCCGAGCCCCCTCGGCCTCCCCGGCCTCTTCCGGCCATGTCAGAGCCGTGTGCGCCGGCGGGGGGCGGGGGAGGGGGGTGGCCTTGTTTGGGGACTCGCGAACGGCCTTGGGCTGCAAAACGGGGAGACACACTCAGCAGAACGAAACACCTCTTGCACCCAGTCCGGGCGGTTTACCTTTTAAGTGGATCCATTAACTCACAAGCCCGTGGGCATAATGATAACTTGATTCAAGAAAGAAAAGTTTAAAAAAAAGGGGGGGGGCCCTCCTCTTGGAAAGTTCTTCCGACCACAGAAAGATGGGGGGCGAGGGGGAAGCATAGGGACCAGATGGGCCAGACTTGGACTTTCCGATCAGTAATCTCGGGTTCCCAGCGTCTTGACGGAGGCTGCCTGGCTTGGCATCTGGAAAGAGCAGCCTTTGTTCCAAGGGGAAGCCGCAGCCTTCTCTAACACCGGGTCGATAGATAGGCCCTAGGGGTTTTGGTTTGTGTCCCCCCCCCACACACACACACACAACGATTTTTACTAATTGCGGTACGTTTATCCAGTTTGAAAATTTGCTGAAGGCAGTCCTAAGTCCCTCGGTCGCCGATGAAAGGTCCTTTTTATAAAAAAAAAAAAAAAGCAATTGCTACTACTCAAATGGGGGGGTGGATAACGTTCTGAGTTCTTCTATAACCGTCTCCAATAAAGCACCCGGCCAGAGCTGGAGAGTGGGGGTTTAATGGCTTCCTCATGCTGGTGCAGAAGCGTGCACTCAGGTTTAGTTCTTGTTAAGAAAAATCACGTGCTTGAAAAACTGGCTCTTTCAGCTCCTTTTGCCTGATACGTTTTTGTTGTCTTTATTAGATAAACTAAGCTCATGGGGGGGGGGGGTATTACGTGTGAAACCTAAACCCTGAAGGACTGTGAAAAAAAGTGGTATCTTTGAGATGGGTCTATTTAGGAGAGTTGTTGAATATTTATAGAATGAACAGGCATTAAATGCATTCTGCAAAAAGGCTGGAAGACCTTTGAAGGAATAGCATGTTTGCGCAGAGCAAACTTGGCACTATAGAAGTACGGCCTCTAGAGAACTAGATAGAGCAGGATCTTGTCAGAATAGCTCACTGTTGTATAATACAATTCCGGAAATTAGCAGTGTGTCTAGGCTCGTCCAGAGGAAAGTTTGTTACATTTGATCCCTTTTAGCACTTGAGAGGTAGTGCTGGTTTTACCTGTTTTATAGGTGAGAAGACCATGCACAGCACTTTGACCAAACGACACAGTTAGGAAAGTGGTAGAGTCAGAATTGGGGGTCCAGTTCCAGCACCACACCACGTGTGTTGGGCTCTTGGCAAAGGATCTGGCCCATAGCAAGTGGAGAATATGCTGTGTTAGTGAGTGAATTTGGGACATCAAAAGCCTTTCTGGAAGTTTTATATTTGAAGTCTGGTCATATTATGAACTTGGAAGTTCAGGCTATGTGAAAAATGTTAGCCCCTAGGGGGAAGGGGGGGACTGGAATGATCCCTATTGTGGGTGTGGCAAAACTGACAAGAGTTTCAGGAATTTTGCTAGCAGATGGATTGTTTTTTGTGCTTGGAAATTGTTTCTACTGGGGAGACAGGGCTTAGTATAGTTAGTATATAGCTCAGTGGCTTGCCTAGCATTTGGAGGTTTTGAAGTGGGGGGACACCAGGAACTTAGGCCTGCTATAAAAAAATGATCAAATTCATAGTCTCTAGTTGAGTCCGCAAACTAGTGTCCTTAGATAAAGTGAAATAAGAAGCAAGGTTTGGAGGTGGTATGCCAGAGAACTCCATTATGTGAAACTGTAAATAAGTTTTTTTATTGTGAAAATACCAGACAGAGGGGTTACAATTACATGAGCAAGGTAATGAGTACATTTCTTATCAAGCATTGTTGCCTCCTCCTTTGTTTTCCCTTACCATCCCTGCCCTTCCACCTACCCCGCCCTCAAAAAAACTGTAAATCTTATAACCTTGTAGGATGAGGAGCCAAGTGAATCAGCTTGTTAGAGGATATGCTCTGAGGGAAGACTCTGGAATTCTCTTAAGTAAAATGTGCAGCCAACTTTTCACATCTGGTTTAGGTCTTCAGAATCTTCTTTCTGTGGGTGTGTAGAGTTGAATCTCTTTTTATTACATGATAATTACAGAGTAAACTTAGCAAAACAGTAAGATATCCAGGAAAGCATGAATTTGCTTCCACACTTGAAATTCTGTTGCTATCTTTACACCAATAGGATAAAAATGTTTCTGCTGGATTAAGAGCACCTGGGTCCTGACCAGGACATAAAATATGTTTTTATCATTTTTTTTCCTGGTAAGGTAAGCAAGTTTTATTTTATTTATTTGTATAAGAAGAAATTAAGGGCTGGGAATGTGGCTCAGGGGTAGAGAGCTTGCCTAGCTTTCATGAAGCCCTGGGTTCAAGTCCTCAGTACCACATAAACAGAAAAATCCAGAGTGGCGATGTGGCTCAAGTGGTAGAATGCTATAGACTTAAGCAAAAAGTAGCTCAGAGACAGTGTCCAGGCCCTGAGTTCAAACCCCAGGACTGGCAAAAAAGAAGAAATAGAAATTGGGGCTCCTGGCATGGTATTGGTACACAACCAGCATTTGAAGTTGAGGCTATCCTGAGCTACCGTAATGAAATTCTGTGGCAAAAATTCAAATAATAAATTAGGTGACAAAAGTAACTTGTTTTGCTAGGCACTAGTGGCTCACACCTGTAATTCTAGCTACTCAAGAGGCTAAGATCTAGGATCATGGTTCAAAGGTAGCCTAGGCAGGAAAGTCCATGAGATTCTTTATCTCCAATTAAGCACCAAAAAGCTGGAAGTGAAGCTTTGGCTCAAGTGGGAAAGTACTAGCTTTGAGGACAAAAACTCAGGAGCAGTGTCAAGGCCCTGAGTTCAAGCCCAGGACTGGTACCCCACCCCCCTCAAAGAAAAGTAACTTGTCCCAAGATGACAAGAGATTCTTGTCCCAAAGATCTTTTTTTGTTTCTAACTTAATTTTCATTTGGCAGCCTTTCTTTCAAGCTAGTTATTTCTGTGGGAAACCCTCACCTTCATGTTGGCTGGTGGAGCTTCCAGACAAGCCCACAGATAATTGCTCTATAGAGTAGCTGGAGTCCTTGTGCAATGAAAGATGGCAGTTCCTTTATAAATAGGTAACCAAAAGTGGATTCCGTTGAATACATTTGCATACATATTTGAACAGTGGTGGAGGCAAAGCTGAAGCTTTGGCTTCTAAGTAATATATTCTGTAGTGGGAGTTTAGACAAATGACTAATTGAAAAGGACATGTAATGAGCTGGAAGTGTAACTATCTCAAGGGGAAGGCTGAGAACATTCTAGGCAAGAAAAGGGACTCTTTGGTTCAAACATTTCAATTTTGGAGGCCTTCAGTCATAGCAATAGTCTGACAGCAGAGTAGGGAGTAGACTGCTAGGGGAGAGGTAGTAATGACTTGATCCCACAAGTAGAATGTAGGTGCTGTTACAAGTCTACATGTGGTAGACAGATTGCACTAATTAGCTCTCAAACTTTTGGAGCCCAAGACTACATCTTCTATCTATAGTCTGCTTTACGGCTGAAAGTACTAGGAAAGTCCAAGTTGTACAGAATCTTACATTAAAATCAAGACTTGGTGGGAAAAGGTCTCAAAACATAACTACCGCTGTCTTAATATAGTAACCACCCTAAAGAGAAATATTAGTAGAAATTCCATGTAGCATATGTATACTTAGAATTAGGTATATTTGTATTTACCTGGTATTTAAGTATTGAAGATACTTTCTTCAAATGGAGACCATTTTGTCATAATTAAATATTAGCCTTTTTTTTTTTTTTTTTTTTTTTTTTGCCTTTTTAATGGGGGTTCCCTCTCTTTGGGCTGGAGATCAAATTCAGACCCTTGTCCATGTAAGTACTAGACAAGTGTCTGACACTGAGATACTTCCCCAGCTCAAAGCAGACAGTGTCTCACCATGTCACCCTGGCTGGCCTCAAACATGAAATTCTTCTGCCTGAAGCCTTCTGAATGTTGGGGTTTGAAACATAGGGAATTGCACTCATGTGGGGTACAGCTCCTCTAGAGCTCAGGAAGGTCGTCTTAGACCACTAAATAATCCACTTGAAGGGAAGCCACTTCTATAAGGATTGGCATCTTGTCCCCCTACCTCCCTTGGGGATTTAGTATGTCAGGGTCTTAGTATATCATTGAGGCTTTCTCTAATTTTATAAAGGTTTGCCCCATCAATTCAAAACATGCATGTGCTGGGAGAAACTCTTACCAATCCAGCACACCCTACTTTGACTTAAGCAAATCTTTGTAGTACATTTTTTTTGGGGGGGGGGGGGGTCCGGTCATGGGGCCTGAACTCTGGGACTGGGCGCTGTCCTTCAGCTCAAGGCTAGCACTCTACCACTTGAGCCACGGCCCCACTTCCTGCTTTTTTCTTTTTGCTTATGTGGTGCTAAGGAATCAAACCCAGGGCCTCATGCATGCAAGGCAAGCAAGCGCTCTATCACTGAGTCACCTTCCCAGCCCATGTAGTACTTTTTTTTTTTTTAATCTTCTGTCTCTATAGTCCAAAAAATAGTGTTAATTTGCTATAGCTATTGCTAATAG